TGCCAACTGCACCATGAGGGCTCTGCCAAAGCCGACCCCGATGAAGAGGTTACAAGTCACCTTTGAAAGGAAATCGCGGGAGGGATCCCTTTCCTAAAGCAGAGGAAGGAGCTGGGTTTAGGTTGGCAGAGGGGGAGTTTCTGATTTCAGAGCGTGCCCCCGGCTCCCCCTCCCCTCTCTCTGCCCTTTTCGGCTTTAAGCCCTTGTCTACACTCAAATCCCCCAGCAGCACTGTTTGCTGGGGGGGATTCGCTTCCCGGCACTGGCAGAAATCCTTAAAAGGCTTTCTCTTTTGATCCTCTCCCCCAGCAGAAACTTAAAGGATGCTTAGGAGTATAAATAATAACGATAACTGCCGCAGGAGGAGGGCAGCCGCTGCAGCGGGGAGAAAGGGGCGAGAATCGGGGCGCAAGCAGCCATTTGGGGGGGGATCGGTCTTTGCAAGGCTGCTGGGCGTGCAAAGTGCCGGTAGCAAAGGGAATTGTAGGGTGCAAGTCAGACTCTCCCAAAGGAGCTGGAAAAAAACAAAAACCAACACAACCTCCCTCTGCCCCCATCAGCCTGCAAGCCCGGCTCTCTGGGGTAGCCGGAGATCCCTAAGCAAAAAGGAAAGCCGTGCAAATCCCTGGCTTTCTAGAAACTCTCCCAGCTTACAAAATGGGGGACAAGAAGGGTTACAGTGTGGGTTAGCAACCGGGCTCAGCTGGTCCCTGCAGCTCGGAGAAGGGGCTGGCAGGGAGACACTTTCTAATTTTACCGCTGGCTCCCGTCCCACCCGCGCTGCCAGCCCCGGCTGGCTTGGCCGGTGATCCCAGGGGAGCGATAGCACCTGTGGGCTTGAAGGACTCTCCGGTAGCGTTAGGAAGGGCTGCGGGGGCACTGGCTGGCAGAAGGGGGGAGGTTCGGGAGCTTGGCGTGGACCAGGTGCTTTTTTGCGGGTGTCGCAAGTGGTTTTCGGGTGGGAGTGAGAGAGCTCTGGGTTCCTCTGGCTGCGGGCTGGGGAAGTTGTTGTCCTGGATCCGCAGGCAGGAGCTGGTACTACTGCCCGGTGTTAGGTTACTTGTGTTTGGAGACACGGGTTTTCCCCGTGGATCTCTATATAAATCCTGTTCCCTCCCAATCTCCTGCCCCTTTTCTGTTCCTGAGCCCCTTCCAAAGCACGGACAGCCGATATGCCCCCGTGCTTGCCTGCAAATCCAACAGCTCCTCAGCATATCCAGAAATAGCATATGTGGCTGCGGGGAACCTTCCTCCGTCCAGCTTTGCTGGTGCACCTTTGCATGGTCCTGCACCCTCCGTGACCCCCTGGACGGTGCCCGCAGCATCCCTGCCAAGAGGAGAACATCAGGGATGGGACATTGCGTGTAACCCCATTGCAGTAACGCGGCCAGAGTCACGTGCTGGGCATGGATAATATTGTTCTTGGGGTCCAGGTGGTGGTTGTGCTCTTTAGTTTGTGCGGTTTTAGGTTCAGGGGTCCCTGGTTCAGCTCTGGCTGTAGGGAGCTAGCTGGAGGTTGTTAAACCTGAGGAGGAGGGAGGGAGGGACAGATGCCCGCTGAGACGCACTGGGCTCTGCCAGGCAGACTTTCCAAGCCATCTGGGGCTTGCCCGTCTCCAGTTCAGGTCCCTGAGATTTATGGCCGGACTGACTTTCTAATCACAGTTTTGCCATCTGCCTGTTGGCCTTTAGCACCCACCTGTCACCGAGCCCTGCCCGCACCACCCGGCGAGGAGCACCCTTTCCTCCCCATTGCTCCAGCCGCTCCTCTGAGGTGCAGCCCTTGTTCCTGCGGGTCCCTTCTCCCTCATCTTCCCGAGTGGGACAGTCTGATCTCCTGAGCTGCTCGTCGGCATGGCTGAATCCTAATTCTGGTGTCGCCCAGGTCCTGCACCAAACTCTGCTCCGGCCAACGCAGCTTCCCACCAAGCCGCTTCACTCTGCTGCTGCCTCCCATCGATGGTCATTTCCCTGCACGCCCTGGCCTCGTTCCTCCGGCAAAGCAGCTCGCTGCTCCTCCAGGTCTGCTTTTAACCTTGTTCCTCACCAGCTCCAGAAAGGTGACGGCTCAGTGACAGCAAGAAGGAAAAAAAAATCTGGCTAGGGACACGGGTAAAAGAAGGTTTCAGTGGTGCAACCCAAGTCACACTGAGAACGTGAGCTGCGGCCGGTGCAGGCACCCAAATGAACGTTGCGATGGCACCAGCTGATGTTAAGCTGATGCATTTCTTCCCTGGCAGCTCCGAGCTGGAGCCTCCGCAGCCGAGCACGTGTCGGTTGCTGCTTTCGTTGCTGCTGGCACTTTCCTTCCTGGTGGACTATAAAAATTAGTAGACTCTTATTTTATTTCTCTTAATGGTGAGCTGGCTGCTCCTGGCCCAGCTGCCCGCAGGCAGCAGTACTGCAGGCTGAGCATCGCTCCGCTGTCTTTCCTCCAACATCCTCAGCTGCCTTCAGCCAAAACGTGTTTCCAGCACAATGAAAGCATCTGCAGGAAGTTTCTGCTTTCCTAGAAATAACGGTCCTCAAGGAGAAGGTAGTTGTTTTTGGAGGGCTCTTTTGCATTTTCTTTTCTTCTATATTTTTCCCCAACATCAGGATGCCATGAGAGGGGAAAGGGAAGGTTTCTGATCGCGTTTTCATGCCCGTGCCATGAGCGTGAAGGCAAAGGCTTTGCTTGAGGTGGGTCCTGCTGCCTCCCTCTGCAGCAGCAAGCCCTCCTTCTCTGAGAGGTTTATACAGCCATGCGATTTCGCACGCGTAGGAAGCCTGGCATTGACCTGAGATAAGGTCATGGCCAGCAACATCTGTCTGCGCGCCAGGATATTTTTGAAGCTAAAAAAAGTAATTTACATTTTGAGGAGGGAAAGGAGAAAGCCTTTTATTGCCATGTTGATTTTAAAATAAAGGCAGCTCTTTGAATTTGCTGCAGGATTTCAAACGTTCACCTGAGTTCCAGGGAGATGAATTAATGGCCAGAGAACAAGAGAAGCTATCAGAGTGGCATGATTACATGTATTTACCACATGGCTGTCATTTCTCCAGGGGTGATCCGGGGGAGAGAGAGACCGTACAAATGTAGAGCAAGAATTAGGTTATTTGAATCCCATTGGGTAGAAAGGAAAAATTGCAGGCTGCGTTCCCCAAGAAAGCGTTTTAACTCTTCTGCAGGTGTTCTGCCTTTGTTGCGGTCCGTAAAGGCTCCAGCGGATGGTGTGGTGGGAAGATGCTCTGCCTCTGCCGTGCCGAAGGGTGGCTGCTGGAGACCTCGGTCCTGCTAGGGCTCAGGGTGCCCAAATGCTTTGCCAAGACTGTTGTAGATGTCTGCACCTGGAAAAAGCGCTAGGGCTGCCCTGCTCCGTGGTGCGGAGACACGGGGCACGTTCTCCAGACCTGCTCTAGCTGGCCATCCTGGGGGAGATGGCTTACACCCCGGTGGTATGGGGTCTTCTCTGCTGCCTGGAGAGGAAACCTGGGCCTGTAACTCCAGGGGAGGCAATGCCCACGTCACCTAAAGATGAATCTCAGCCCCTTTAATTTAGTTTGGAACTAATATGCCCTTGATGACACCTTTGGTAATTGGCCAATACTCGTCGCTTTAAAACTTTTGCCTTTCATTTGATGCTTACTGGTTCTTGTGTTATGACAAATAATATCCCTGTTTCTCCCGCCCTGTGCCATCCGTGAAGGCGTTAGCAGTCATCACCTCCAAGCTGTAGAGCCTTTGTGGAGGAGTTGTTACCCATTGCTGCTCCTCCTCCTCTGTGCCCTTGTCATCTCTACTGTACCGCTTTTGAGGTGGGGGACCAGGGCTGGACGTGCTGCTCCACGTGCCGGCATGCCGGTGATTTCTGTCTTGTTCTCCATGCTCTTCCTGCTAGAAGTCCTGTCCCAGCATTAGCTTTGCTTTGTTCGTCCACCACCGAGCGGGTATTTTCACAGAACCATCCACAAAGACTCCCAAGATCTGTCTCCCAACTCAGAATAACTCATTTAGAGCCCATTATTGTGTGCATATGCATATATATTTGGAGGAGTTTTTTTCTTTTCTTTTTTTTTCCCTCAGGCATTACTTTGCCTTTGTAGACATTGAATCTCAGCTGCTATTTTCTCTCTCAGTTGCAAGTTAACTTTGGAGCGCCAGGACGCATTCATGTTGTATAACCCATTACAATTGCACTCTGATGAGTTTTAATCTACTCTTTTGGCCTGCCTGTCCTTTCTTCCTCCCTCCAACAGAGCTGCAAGACGCTGCGCTTATTCTCCTCCCAGCGGCTTCCAAACCACAGATTGCTCAGATGCTCTGTTCATTTTGCAGCTTCTGCTGTGTCAGCAGCTGTGCTTTATGATTTAAGACGGCAGCAGAACTTTCCACTGAACTATAAACTCATGTATTCAGTTTCCTGGTATCCACACAACCGGGAAGCTAATTGATGGCTGGGATAGTCCTGCGAGGAGAGGTCAAGGACGTATTTAGATTGCAGGGAGACAATGAGGGTTGACGAGGAACTGAATTGAACGCCATGATCCCCAGGAAGAGACACGGCGGGGGCGATGCCTTGAAGCTGGAGCCTACCTGCCTTGGGGAAGTAGCTGTCCTAAGGCGGGAGAGCCTCTGGCAGGAGGTAATGCATCTCGGATGGGATTGCTGGTCCATAAAAGCCAAGCCTGGTTGGCCCTCGGCTACTGATACGGCACAGCGCTCGTTCCAGTGGGGAACATCTGGACACCCATGCCTGGCTGCCTGCGCAGAGATGCTGGAAACCGCCATGTGATGAGTATGGGGCTGGGTGAGGAGCGGAGCTGTGGCTCAGGGAATATAAGTGTCACGTCTCTGTGCTCAGAGAGGGGACTGCAAATATTTCTGCAGGTTTCTGCTGCTT